GTTATCTTGCCTACCACATGCCAATTTGCGTTTCTTATTTCAGAGGACTTGAATCAAATCAGCTCACTGGTCCAATCCCTTCTTCAATCGGCAATCTTGTGAACGTTGTTCAGATGTGAGGCTTCTCTGCGTTGCGGAGCCGCTATGGAGCTGCAATCTCTTCATCCCCTGATTTTTTGAGTCGACTCAAAAGTCATCATCTCGTCATCCCCCTGTTAATCACTCTCTTCTCTTCCTCCTCGCTATCCCACTGTTGCCTTCTAGCCACACAGTGTAATCCAATTGCTTTCTCCCCTCCATTCTGGTGCTATCTTTGGGCCACTCACGCGACCATCTACATACATCCACCCGCAACATCAATATACATTGTGCACTTTGTGCCAAAAGTGTAATGAGAAATCTACTTGGCCCATTGCAAGTCCGGTCCGTCGTGTTTGTGTGGGCGGGCTTGAGACGAGAGGTGGCATGTCTATGCACGTCCTCTCGAGGTAAACCTGGTGTTCAGAGAACTTGAATAAGCCACCCCCTTGGTGCGTCATAGTCTCTCCTCCTTTATTCTGTCCCTTTGGCGTTCCCCTTTCTCCTCCCATCCCATCATATCCATTCTTCTCCAGTTACTCCCCCATTCTATTCTACACAGCACATTTTCAGGCAGTATCTGTATCAATCTGTCTTCGATCATGCATGATCCAGATCTGCTGTCATCCCCATAAACCCCTAATCATCTCGTCGTGACGCAACATATCATGTACCCATCCCATCCCACCATTCATCATCATCACAGATATCTCAATGAGAATGAACTCTCTGGCGACTTTTGAGTCGACTCAAAGGTCACTCCATATCTGCTGTCATCCCCATAAATCCCTGATCTCCTCGCTGTGATGCATCATGTACCCATCCCATCCATCCCATCCCATCCCATCCCACCATTCATCATCATCACAGATATCTCAATGAAAACGAACTCTCTGGCACAATCCCGTCCGGAATCGGCAACCTCACAAAACTTACACATCTGTGAGGCAGTTTTCTTGGACGTGTGTGTGCTTTAACCAAGCATTGCTCCTCCTATTCTTGAGGCGCCTCAAAGATTGACACATCTGTGAGGCTGTTTGCTTGACGTGTGCTCCATCCAGACACTGCTCCGCCTCTTCGAATTTTCCCCACCTGCCTCTCTTGATGCTAGTTTACTCTTACTCCTCTTAGCGCCATGTCCCACTATCCACGATTCTACTGCTCCTTTTTATTTGCAGATTCCAGCATTTTCCTTTTCCTTGTTCCTCCTCTCCCAGCTCTTCTTCCAGTTCTTTTCCTCCTTCCATTTATTTTCCATAACATCGTTGTTCGTCTCCATTTTTGTTTGCTGTATTTGCAGAAATCTGGAAAACAATCAGCTCACAGGCTCAATCCCTAGTGGAATCGGCAATCTTGCTGCTATGGGATACCTGTAAACCCCCCCCCCTAAAAGGGCCATTTGTGCGGACACTCATCCATTCATGTCACGAGTCATAGTCTAATTGCGGGTTGTGGGATAGAAGTTCACCAGATATTCATCTGTGTGTGCGGAAGGGCCGAGCACATGGTGTAGTAGTGTGAAGACGTGCTGTAACTCTCTCTACTGCTCAGCAGACTTTTGAGTCGATTCGAAAGTCAACTCGATAGAAGTTCACCAGATAGTAATCTGTGGGTGTGGAATGAACGAGCACATGATGTAGTAGTGTGCAGACGTGCTATAATCCTCTCTACTGCTCAGCAGAAATGCATATCGTGCCCTCTTCTCACGCACCAATTCTGACATCCTTTGTTTGGCAAGACAAATTGATGGCACACATTGCTGTCTAGAGGCCAGGGTTCAACTCCCAGCTGGGTTCAAAGATTGGGCAAATGAAATGGTGGCAAGGAGACATACTATGAGGACGTAATCCCATGTGGTTGTATCCACTTTTCAGAGAAGATGTATCCATCCCAGTTGCATTACACTTTTTTGGAACGGTCTGGAAGAGCCTGGCATAGTCTGGCATGGCCTAACATGGTCATGCATGGTCTGGCATGGTCATGCATGGTCTGGCATGGTCATGCATGGTCTGGCATGGTCATGCATGGTCTGGCATGGTCATGCATGGTCTGGCATGGTCGTGCATGGTCTGGCATGGTCATGCATGGTCTGGCATGGTCATGCATGGTCTGGCATGGTCATGCATGGTCTGGCATGGTCATGCATGGTCTTGCGTGGTCATGCATGGTCTTGCGTGGTCATGCATGGTCTGGCATGGTCATGCATGGTCTGGCATGGTCATGACTCATGCATGGTCTGGCATGGTCATGCATGGTCTGGCATGGTCATGCATGCATCTACCATGCTCTGACATACTGTTTCTCCCACCTCCCCTCCCGTGTCATCCTCCTCCTAATCCCTCACGCTCCACTGCCCTTTCCTTCATGTATCATTCAAACCTCCTCCCCTGTGCTTGACAAATAACTTGGCAGAAATTGAGTTTGGAGTCGTCTAAAACTCATTATTTTTTCAAGCCTCTTTCCCCGTGCTTCACAGGTTTCTTGGCAGCAATCGTCTGACAGGACCCGTTCCTCCCTCCATCAGCTCATTGACTCAACTCAGCATTCTGTCTGTGCTCTGTGCCGCTGTGCCTCTGCCTTTCATTTTCTTTTTGAGGCACCTCTCCTCAAGGAAAGTTGTCGTTGCAGGTGTGTCACTTGAGAATTATGAAAAAAAAAAAGAGCACCTGCTGCTAAATTTGACACAACTCAGTATCAACCCAGTACTGCCATGCCTCTGCCTCTCTGCAGAAACCCTCCTGGCCACATTCAGGCCACTTCTCATTTTTTCATCCACATAGCCTGCTCGACTCCCATCTTTATGCACATGACCATTCATTTCCCCTTGCTTCTCCTTCCCGTCCTGCTAAATTGCACTCCATCTACAAAAAACTTTGTGTGAATCTAATCCAGAGGCACCTCTAAAATGCCTTCTCTTGCCAGTCCTTCCTACTAATCCGCACTTTATCCAAAATCTGCTCCACAAATCGCCATCCAAAGCCTCCTCCACAAACCTTTGCATGTGTCTGAGAGCCTCTCCTTACTCTCTCACGTCCCTTTCTTCCTTTCTTGCCCCCCACTGTGACACAGCTCTCTCGAAAGCAACGAGCTGGAAGGGGAGCTGTCAGAGAGCATCTGTGCTCTTTCTTCTCTTGCACTACTGTAAGATCGGAACCGCTCCCTTCTCCTCACCCTCCCCGACCCAGACTTCAAATCCTTGACCACACCTCGCTATCCCTCTGTTTCTCTACCGTTTTCTTCTCGGGCAGCAACCAGTGCTTTTGCTTCGTTAGCTTGCATGAAGCCTCTTCGTCTGTGCTTTTGCTTCGTTCCCTCGCATGAAGTCTCTTCGTGTGTGCCTTTGCAGCAGCCATTCAATAATTGGCCTTGCGTTTACGATGTGCATGGCATGGCCGCATGGCATGGCTGCATGCATCCACGCAGCTACCTTCACATGAACAGAGTCACTGGATCCATCCCTTCATCAATCAGCAAGCTTTCCAGCCTTCGGTCAATGTGAGTCAGCGTGAGTCAATGTGAGTCAACGGGAGTCAATGCGATCGATGGCCTCGTCTAGCTGTGGTGGTGAGTTGTCACCCTTGCTGCTCCAGCTTCGCTTCATGCTACTAATAGCTGAGTCAATATTTGAAATGCTCAGAAGCAACTCCAATACAGAGGCATTTCCCTGTGTAGTGGGTCAAGTTTTGAGTCGACTCAAAACTTGACTAATATTGGAAATTCTCAGAAGCAACTCCAATACAGAGGCATTTCCCTGTCTTAGCGTGTCACGTGCCTGCATGCCTCCAAGCTTCATGCCTTCCGCTTCCGTTGGTGTTCCCTAGGAATCTGCATACCACGCACACCTGTTTACCTCTGCGCCATTCTGTTTCTTCTTCATATATACTGCGCTCTCTGTGTGGATAATGTGTTGTTCTCCTTCTGAACAAGATAATGTTCACTTCATTGTGTGGATGCTGTGTTGTTCTCTCAGGAGACTTGACAGCAACCGTCTTACTGGAACAATTCCTTCTACGATTGGCAAGATGAACGGCCTGGGCCGACTGTAAGTCATCGCACATTGCTAATTTTGAGGCGCCTCAAAAGTAGACCCCTCACCGGAACAATTCCTTCAACGATCGGCAAGATCAACGGGCTGGGCCGACTGCAATTTAGCACACATTACATTGCTTCACACCCATTTCTCACAGTGCAAAAAAATCTCGTACTCTGTAAGTATCACTTATCTTGATCTTTCTCTCATGATGAAAGAATTTCGTGGTCTTTTGCTCTCACTGCTACTTCCCCTCTCTCTCCAAACCCCCATGTTCCTTGAACATCATTCCCTATGTGAGTCCTGTGTAATGTCTGCATAGCTTCCTTTCTGCCTGCCTACCCACCTCTGTTTCTGCTCCTCCCTTTTCACGGTGGAACATTCATCAGGTCACTCGCCGACAACCAGCTATACGGAAGTTTACCCTCCACTCTTGCCAAGATGAAAGCGCTCGCTATCTGGTATGATGATGCAAGAAGCATTCGAGCCTTGCACCAGCCGTGATGCTCAGAGTTCAGGCATCCGCAGCGGAGCATTACTCTCCTGTGGTCTATGGAGTAGTTGTTTGTTGTTGCTTTGTCGTATCATGTGTAAGCTTCCATGATCACTTCTGTATACTCCACATTCACTCTTTCTGGCACACCCTCCTTCAAGTGAGGCAAGGCTTTTGTGCACAGTGGGAAACTCATAGAAGCATGGTATGGAAGGTATGGAAGGTCATGGGAAACTCAACGCAGCAGCATGGTGTGGCAAGTCGTTTCATATCCCTGGTAGCAACGGCTTTGTGGCAATCGCATGGCCAAATCACAACGCAAACAATGCTTCACACCTCAAAAAGAGCTCTCCTCATCATCCTACCCCACCCCACCCCACCCCAACCCACCACACGCACATGCCTTCGCTTGCCATCCCCTCTTGCAGTGACCTCTCACATAACTACCTCACAGGTCCCCTTGTGAAGCTCCCGGCCATCCAAGTAGATCTATCCAACAACTACCTGTCCGGTGCTGTTTCGGGGCCAGACTGCCTTCGATACACCATCGCCGCCAACTGCTTCACACAGAACAAAGCCTGCCGCCCGGAATCGCAGCAGCGGCCCGCAGCGCAGTGCTCGGCATTTTGTGGCATCTCCAACACCACTGCTGCCTGTGGTGGCCGTGGCCTGTGCTATCCAGATGGACCTAGCCTCGTGCCCACGTGCTCCTGTAATCCCGGCTCTGTGCAGTATGAGGGAACCAACTGTATCGCAGCAAGTAAGTTATTTTTCCACTACTTATGACTTAATAGCTACTGTAAACTGTGAGAATGAAGCACAATAGAGAAATCATGGAAGTGCTTATTCGTATAACTCTTATCCATGGACCCTTCCTCCTACGACCTGACCAAATGGATTTATTTCACACCACTGCTTACCACCATTGCTCACCACTCTCTCCCTCCCGTTTTCTCTGACTTCTGAGTCAACTGAAAAACCACTCCACTGCTCAACCATCCCACCCTTCCCATGCTCTGCCGCCCCTCCCTCACAACCTTCCAGCCTGGATCCAAACCTCACCGATCGATATTCTCCCGCCATTTACGGTCCTCACTATGGGAACACAGCAGAAGCCAGTGGGGAGGTTCATAGCAAAGCCAGTGACCCTGTTTGCGTTCCCAAACGCCGCAACCCCGGGATGTGGCTTGGAGCTCGCATTCAGTGTCAACTTCACCTTCGCTCTCATGCCCCAGCCTGGTTTCACTGCACCCAGCAGCTTCGCGTTTGTGATCGCAGCAAAGGCCAAGGCAGGAGCCGCTGCTCGTGTGGGATATGGAGGAGCGGGGTCTGGAAGCATAGCCGTGGTTTTCAATATGGATGGGAGCAACCAGCAAGTGGGGTTGAGCATCAATGGGGGCGAGGAGCCCTTAGTATCAGAACCATCGACATTCACGCTCACGGATGGCTATGCATATAAGGTCTGGGTGGACTATGAGCCTGGGGATCCCGGCACGGAAGGGCGCATTCGGGTGTTTCTGGCTGGCGCTGATGGAAAGCCGGTGGAGCCACTGCTGCAGGAGAGACTGTCGCTGTGTGCGGTGCTGCAGGGTGGGGTAAAGCAGCAGGCGTTCTCGTTTGGATTTACAGTGTCCACTGCTGTGATGCCCTTCCAGCTGCATGGCATTCTCTTCTCCTCTGTGCAAACAGGCAAGGATATCAAAACGTGGGGTGAGGGAGATGGCTTGCCCGCCTGAATGTTGATGTATTGAGAGGGTCGTAGCTCAAGGGTGGGGGTGTGGAGGTGGATGATGATGTGGGTGGGTGTGGTGGGGTTGGGGGTGGTGGTGGAAGCAGCGGCTCCAGTTGTTTTGCCATGTTCATGCTGCTGCTGCTGCTGCTGCTTCTGCTGCTGCTGCTGCTGCTGCTGCTGCTGCTGCTGCTGCTGCTGCTGCTGCTGCTGCTGCTGCTGCTGCTGCTGCTGCTGCTGCTGCTGCTGCTGCTGCTGCTGCTGCTGCTGCTGCTGCTGCTGCTGCTGCTGCTGCTGCTGCTGCTGCTGCTGCTGCTGCTGCTGCTGCTGCTGCTGCTGCTGCTGCTGCTGCTGCTGCTGCTGCTGCTGCTGCTGCTGCTGCTGCTGCTGCTGCTGCTGCTGCTGCTGCTGCTGCTGCTGCTGCTGTTGAAAGGATGATGCTAAACGGATTTGAAAGAAAGGTGAGGCGGTGGTGGTTGACGGTGTTAATGGCGGTGGTGGCATGGCAGTTTTGGATGCAATGCAAAGCAATAAGCACGAGCGATTTGTCCCAACAATGGTGTAAGCACTGTCTGGGCTGTGTCAGTTGGAGGTAATTTGTGGCGCTGTGCTAATCCATGTCATCATTAGTTCATGTGGACCTGACTAGGGGTAGCTAATACGTATGATCTCTCTTGACTTGACATTACTACCCTGCTTATCTTTTTCTTCGCTCTGGATTTCAAGACTCAATCATGATCTTGTAATAAGTCCCTTATCTTTTTCCTCGAACTACAGGCTTTAGGTCAACCAACCCCAAGCCAGTACCGGTCAGGGATCAAGGTGAGCTTTCTCTGACCCGTGGCACAGTGGCAGCCAGCCAGAATTCGAAATGCTCCTCGTTCAACTGCCATTCCTTGTTCTTGTTTTTGTAAGACCTGACAAGGTGTGTGTGTGTTGCGTTCAACTGTCACACCATATGTGCCCCTCAACCAAGTACATACCTGAGAGGCTGTCCTTCGCATTAATGAGAGCTAATGAGAGCTAATGAGAGCTAATGAGAGCTAATGAGAGCTAATGAGAGCTAATGAGAGCTAATGAGAGCTAATGAGAGCTAATGAGAGCTAATGAGAGCTAATGAGAGCTAATGAGAGCTAATGAGAGCTAATGAGAGCTAATGAGAGCTAATGAGAGCTAATGAGAGCTAATGAGAGCTAATGAGAGCTAATGAGAGCTAATGAGAGCTAATGAGAGCTAATGAGAACTAATGAGAACTCCCAGTTGGCTCACACAGATCAACATCTGCAAAATCCTGAATGTGGCTTGGAAGTGTTCTTTTGATTGAAACTCACCACCCCGGGCCGAGCCGTGCTAGTCGCCAAAGAGCCAGGCATGCATGGCTCGTCCGTTATCCAACCATTAGCTCCGCAAGCAAGCCAACCTCCCAGCTCGTCATGGCATCTCGCCTATGTTTTTCTAGTCGACCCACAAACCAAGCATGGTAGGTAACGAACGACTTACCTACGTAACTACCTGCCTACCTGCCTACCTACCTACCTACCTACCTACCTACCTACCTACCTACCTACCTACCTACCTACCTACCTACCTACCTACCTACCCCCCCACCCACCCACTCACCCACCTACCTATCTACCTACCTACCTACCTACCTACCTGCCTACCTACCTACCTACCTACCTACCTACCTACCTACCTACCTACCTACCTACCTACCTACGTACCTACGTACTACCGCTTGGCACTGTGAGGTCCCCAGGGGGGGAATTCCAAGGGGGGGCTCTAGAGGATGTATAAAGGTTTGCCTGAAAGCTATCAAATATCTCTCGAAGAGTGGGGGGTGTAGAGGATGCGAAGCAGGAAGCGGGTACTAGACATGGTCAAAGGCGGGGACCGGGCTTGCCTGGGCTGGCCGTGCCACGCGGGCCCGACACGACACGACACGACACGTGACTGGCAGGCTGGAGCTAGACTGAACTGAACCACCATGGGCTGCTTTTGGGGCGTCTCAAACCTGGGCCGGCCGTGCCACTGGCCCGACCCGTGACTGGCAGGCTGGAGCTAGACTCACCATGGGCTGCTTTTAGGGCGTCTCAAACCTGGGCTGGCCGTGCCACGCGCGGGCCCGGCACGTGACTGGCGGGTTGGAGCTAGACTGAACCATCATGGGCTGGTGATTCAGGAAAATATGAGAAAAAACAGGGACAATAACAAAGAAACGAGCAGAGAGAAGTATGCCCTCAGCCTGTCCGGGTGACATGGTGTTCCCTAAACCCCCAAACTCTAAAAAGACCTTCTGCCCAGAAGTATCTGGGGGTTCTCTAGACCCTTATACACACTGTTCTGTAGGTTGATGGTGCTCCAGCATTGCGGCTGCTATTTTTTGGCACATTCACAGCCTCTGCCTTCACAGCAGCTGCCTGACCTGAAGCAGGCTCAATCGGCATTGCAACAGCTGTTTGGCTGGCAGCAACGTGTGCCACGAAAGGACACAGCCCCCCCAGCGTTATTGCCGGCCGAAATTTCACCGCCCGCTCACCCACTCCCCGCCCGCCCACCACTCACTGCCAGCTCACTCACTGCCCACTCTCCCCCAACTCCCCAGGCACATCTCCCTGTCTGACCACATCCTCTTCTTCTCCACCTCTTCCCGCCCCTTCACAGCCCTTGGCCTCTCATTATCAGAGGCTACATTTGCACCGTCTCATGCGAGCCCCTTTCCGCGGTATGTGAGCTCGGACTTCGAGCTTACCAAAACGAAAGCTGCCTCGTGGAGAATCAGTGACTTGACGACGTGGGACTCTGTGGACTTCCTCAAATGGCCTGTCAAGAACCAGCAGGACTGCCGTAAGTGGAAAGAGGGCCGCACAGAAAAAGAGCTTCTTCGTAAGATTTTGGCAAGTTTCTCATTTATCACACTGTTGCATGCAGGCATATGGTTGTGTGCAAATGATAATAAAAGATCACAATTTCCTGGTTTATGCTTCTCAGCAATTCATTGTCAGTCAACTGCTGCTGTATTTACTGTTGAGCGTTCTTAAAGTTTCTAATGTGTGCACTTTCGCACGAGGCAGAAAGTTCCCCCGTCCTTGCATGTTAGGTTGGAGAGGCCGTATTCAGTTCCCCCTCTCATCTTTTTTTTTCTTCTTTTTTTCTTTTTTTTTGTCATCCTGATTATATCATCTCTACTATCATAGTTATACTCTTTCTATCCTAATTTTATCCCCTCCATCTTAAATATATCCTCTCCATTATTTTTTATTTCAATACAGAATATGCCCTTTCCAACTTAACATCTCCTCCCCGCCCTCATAATACCTTCTCCACCCGCTATGAATGCTTCCAATTCTCCTCATCTCCTTCTTCCTTCCAGATGCATGCTGGGCATATGCAGTGGTGGCAAGTGTGGAAGCCGCATACGGCATCGCAAAGTGGGGCGCCGCTCCCCAGCTATCAGTGGAGGCTCTCTTCGCCCTCATGGGCCTCTCCGACTCCGACAAGTGCTCTGCTGGCGGCTCCCCCACTGAAGCCTTTGAGAAGCTCGTGGCTCTTGATGCCACCAGTGGGCTCACAGGGGACAGTGACCCGGTAGGCGGAGCAGAGTACGGTCATTAGCTGGTCGGTGTGTGAGAGGGAAGGCAAGGTGCGGTTATTGGAGGGTGTTTCTGTTTTCACTGTTCTTCAGTTGGTTTGTGAAGCGGCTTAATCAACCACCTAGGCGATCTCTGAAGACAGAGAGAAAGAAAGAAAGAAGGAAAAAAATAATCTGTTACATTGTGCTGTGCTTGGTTGGTGATGTATTGAGCTGGCTCTTTGTTGTGAATAGTTGTTTGTGTCCCTTGCGAAGAAGACAGATGTATCTTGTATGGAACGGATGTAAGATGGGGTGATTCATGTGCTACTTTGTTTTTCTTCCCCATCCACATCCCATCCCCATCCCTTCCCCCACTCTTTAGCACCTCAAATCCCCATTTCCCCTTCAAATAAATCCAATCTCCATGACGCGAGCCAGCACAATATCCAGTGCAGGCGTTTGAGCGAGCGCAGGTCAAAGGACATGTGGGTGGGGTGGGGCTCATGCGGCCGTGCTTTGATCACTTGATTCATCTCCCAACAATCTACATGCACTTCTGTTCTGTGTGCTCTGCTTTGCAGGCAACAACATACCCGGTGCAGGCGTTTGAGCGAGCGCAGTTCAAGGGGTATGTGGGGCTCATGCTGGCAGTGCAGCGGCAGCCAGTGGTGGTTCACATCGAGGCGTCTGCTCCCTCATTCAAGACATACGGTGGGGTAAGTAACGAAAGTGACCTATGGCAACTTACAGGACGTCTTATAGGTGATTGCACCTATGATACGATGTACGTTCATTGCAACTCTCACTCCATCCGGTACTGTGTTTTCCCCTATTTTCCTTCAGAAAATCAAGTACCAGGATCCCGGTTGCTACACTGGAAGTCTCAACCACGTTGTACTCGTTATTGGCTACTTCATTAGAGGAGACGACGGCAGCCAGAACCGCATTGCTCCTCCGTTTTGGATCATCCGTAACTCATGGGGAGAGGAGTGGGGCAGCAAGGGTCACATGCGCATGGACATTCAGGGAGGGAATGGCGTGTGTGGCATCAACGTGCTGCCTGGCATCTACCCCATTGTCAAAAGTGAGGCATCTACCCCACTCTCAAGAGTGGGGCAGAACCGCAGATGTGTTCGTATGTGAGCATGGTCTGGTTTGAATCAGGGGCTTCACAACCCGAGTTGCGCAAAACCATTCAAGTCGATTCTGACATACCTGCTAGCGTAGTGTAGTTTGCACTTTGTGTTTGGTTGGGTGTACACTCACATCCCAACCAAACTTAAATGTAATATCCAAGAAATCTCCAATTGGAGATTGCCCTGGGATTACCCCCAATCCCTAGAGATTATCCCCGATTCCCTTCAACATCCATTCCTTGCTCATCCTGGATGTACTTAAAGAGCCTCGAGCTCACTACTAATGCATGGATTCTAAGCTTGAGTTCTGACAGTGACGTGGAGCATGTCTCATAGTGACTGACTGCCGATTGTCTTCAGTGACTGAGTGTGGCAAAAGTTGACTCGAACACTCTGGATTGTCTTTCCTACACACCTGTTTGTTTTCTTTTTTATTCCAACATCCATCGCCTTGCGTTTCCTTCCAAATGTCACTCCCGCTTTCAGTTCCAGGAGACCAATGCGGGAACAACAGCTACAAGGGAGACATGAGGTCTCAGCCTAGTATGAACCCATGCGGGCGGTTCAATTGCATGAGCACTACCGGAGGCGGCAACAACTGCACCTGCAACGTTCCTGATGCGACTGTACAGCCGTTTGTGGAGGTTGAGAATGGATACGGTTCCAACACATGTGCTTATGGTAAGATCGCACCTTTGAGTCCACTTCGAAACAGCTTATGGGAAGTCGTACTTCTCGGTAAAAGAGCTCAAAGATTCTTTGGTAGGTTTTGCTGCTGGTAAAAGGCGGATTTGCAAAATTGATCTCACACTGAATAGAAAGCCGCTATTTGAGTCGAATGGAACATCGTCTCATGCGGACTGAACTGTGCCTGGCTTTTGCAGCATGCGAATTCCTACGCGCCCTCCTCTTGCTCTCAAACAGGGGTTTCTTTCTTCCTTTGTGAGAATACGGTGTGACTAGCACAGGCGAGAAGGTACGACAAAGTGGCGGCTTGACTTCTCACGATTCAAAAGCCACAGAAATGGCAGAGATATATGTTATTTTACTTCCATGGCTTTAAATTCCGTGCCACATTCCCTCTTTCTTCTCCACCATATCCCCCTGCTCATCTCCGCCAGTGGGTGTGTGTGGGTCATATTTCAGGTTCAGGATCCCTTGTGCTTTTGAGTCGACTCAAAAGCAGACTCATATTTCACGTTCAGGATCCCTTGTGACGTGGGAGTATACATCAACTATCACACTCCCTTCGTCCGTGATCCTCCTTCTCTCTCTTCTCCTGTTGGTCATTTATTTGCAATGCCTGTCTGTGCTACAATCTGCCACCCACCCCGGTGCACGAGTGGCAGTGGACGTGTGTGGGTCATAATACTTCAATCAAGTTGTTTGAGTTGACTCAAACATCCACTTTCTTCTTCATATATCCGCTTTTACCCAATGTCTGCTTGTGCATATATCCGCCACCCTTTCTGGAACACGTGTGGCAGTGGACGTGTGTGGGTCATACTTCAAGAACCCCTGTTACGTGGGAGCATGCATCAACGATGGCAAGGGCGCCTACTCCTGCATCTGCCCTCCCAATCACGTTCTTAGCACAACCGTTGACGGCTTCCCCACCTGCGATCCAGGTGATGCTACTCTGATTTCATTCTGAGGACCGCACATGCGATCCGGGAAACATGCTAATACCTGGAACACATCGGAGGATGCTAACAACGAGGATGCTGGCTTAAATATAATGACCCCACCAGCGATCCTAGTAGAGCTCAAGAGTCAACAAAACATTCTTCCCCACCTGCAATCCAGATAAGGTGACGATGCTACTCATCGAGTAGGAGCGGATGAGTATGCCTGTTTGCATTGCACTATTTAGAATCTCTTGTGGATTTCGGTTGTGTTACGACTGGTAATGCTGCAATGCATGAGAGGGAATCAAGGCGGAATGGCATGGCATGCACACGTTTGCTTTCGAGGCCCTCAGAATTGCTATAACATGACATGAGAGCGAATCAGAGTGGAGTGGTATGCACGACAGGCCCAACTCGAGCTCTCTCCTGTTTTTCTAGACCCACCTTTCCTCTTTCCTTATCTCGATGCCCCTGCATCACTCACGATGCTGCCTGCAGGCAGCCAACACAACAGCTACCCTACCACGCTGACAGAGTTTTGAGTCGACTCAAAACCTTATCCCAATGTCTCTATGTCCGCCAATCCCAATGCTGCCTGCAGCCAACACCACGGCCACCACAATGACAGTCAGCGGCGACAACTGGTGGTGCTCGGATGTTCATCCCCTTATTGGCCTCACTCTGAGTCGATTCACTTCTCCGAATGCAGTAAGTAAGGATTGGGTGAAAAGGCGTGGAAAGGAAGGTGGGGATAGGTTGAGTCCTTGACCATGAATGGGCTAGTCTGTACTTGGCTTCTTACCTCTAACGTCCACATCTGCTTGTTCTCCCTTCATTGCGCCTGCGAGCTCTGTGCTGTATGGTGTGAGCTTTGTGACAAGGAAAGAGCATATAGGTTGTTCTGGTTAGCTACCTCCACTTCTACTGAGGTGCAGTATGATTCAAGAACCTGATTTTCTCAAAATCAAAGCCACCTTAGGAAAAAAACCAAAAGGCAGCTTATACCTGTAGAACGAGTTGAAAACGTTGCTCTCCGGGGACTTTTCCCTACATTTGGAGTCTCGAGAAAACAAAGTGAGCATTGCTCTTGAAAAGGAGAGGGGGCTGGTGAGCGCCTCGTGTTATCTCAAGCATGAGGTGACTTCTGAGGAAGAGGACACCAGTTAGGCGCCATTGAGTTCGATACGTGGTAGCAACTTAGGATTCAACACCAGTAGTTGTTGGTAGTACTTTGAAAAGGAGAGTGGGCTGGTGAGCGCCTCGTGTTATCTCAACTCAAGCATGAGGTGACTTCAGAGTCAAAAGACACCTCGTAAGCACCTCGCAAAGTCTATTTCATGCGCACCTGATCACCCCAATGCAGGGCATTGACTGCAGCCAGCCATTACCCAAGGGCAGTGTTCTTCAGCTGGATGGTACTCCTGCCACACCCTGCACTGCCTTCTTCTATACCCTCAATGTGAGTGTGAGACCTCCTTTTGACGCTCCTCCTCAAAACCACGCACAAATCTTGCGTGAAAGATTCTCGAAACGTCTTATGGATTTTTCACAAAACTCTCCCCACACCCTGCACCCCCTTGTTTACCACTCCCAATGTGGGACCTGCTTTTGCAAGGATCCACAACAAACACATCCCCGTCACACCCTGCTCTCCATTCTTTGCCCACTCCCAGTTGTGGGACCTGCTACCCTCTTGGCCACGCCACAACACAAAAAACTCTCAACCACCTCACACCTAGTCCACGCAGCACAAAAGTTGTATTCTGAGACGTCTCAAAATACAACTTTTATCACGTAGCGCTCAACCACCTCACACCTAGTCCATGCAGCACACCGCATGCGACATTGCCGTACCATCCTTGAACCATTATCACATCATCGTTTCATCATCATTGCACCATCATTCCACCATCATAACATGTCATCATCTTCGCATCATCATTATTGCAACATCATTGCATCATCATCATCATCATCATCATCATCATCAACCGTAAATGCACCATCGTCTCGACATCATCTTATCACCAATGATCGACCCACAAGCACACTCTCCCTACACCTCTCTCATCCTCCACCACTCTCTTCCCCGGCCTTGACTGCTGTGGTGACGTCTCAAACCCCATCACACTCTCCCCACACTTCTCCCAACCCTCCAGGGAGACTCCTGTGAATCCATCAGCACACAGGTAAATCTACCTCTCACCAACCTCACCGCACTCAACCCCGGCCTTGACTGCTCCAAGCCCATCAAAGCCGGCCAGTCCGTGTGCATCGAGCGCAGTGCTGCCTTCGCTTTCACCGTTCCCGAGTGCGTGAAATACGGCACGCTCACTCCTCAAGACACGTGCGACCGGCTGGTCCAAAAGAGCAACACAGCCTCACAAGAAGGGGATTCAAGTGCGAATCCTTGGCAAGATCTCTACCGCAATAATCCTGGGCTTACCTGTTCTGCTACCATCCCTTCGTCTGTGTCTGCTGTTGGCAGCAAGATTGGTGTCCAGGTGAGGGCTGTGAGGGGGAGGGGATTGGGGCAGGGACAGGGGGGGGTGGCAAAAGCGGGAGAGACGGGAAAGCAGGCTGTGAGTGGCAAGAGGTAGTTGTGATTTGCAGGGTACAATATCCTTGTGCCATTGTGTTCCGCACGTTTGTGTTCACACGTCCATGAGACTATTATCCTCCTTCTACAGTAAGCTTGCTTGCATTTCCATACAAGTCTTCCACAGATGGGCACACAAATGCCGGCCTTGCCTCTTTTCCATACATTCTTCCGCACTCAAAAACGTCCATGCCTCTTTTCCATTTTCTCCTACTCTCAAAAACATCCATGCACTCTGGTCACATCGCATCTCACCTCACCATCCCAGGTGTGTCTCAGGGCAGAGTACTGGTCGTTTCAAATGGGTGTGTGCAAGAAGGGCAGGGTCAAGCCAGTAAAACCATCCATGTCGTGTTCCGCTGCCTATAGCTTCTATGGTGGAGCTTCGGCAACAGCTATTTCAGATTTTGAAGTTTACAATGGAAAGAGTTGCTCTGGATCCGTAGGGGGGAAGGCTATTTGTGTACCCTCTTCGTTTTAGCTGACCTTTGTAGGTCTGTAAATTGTTGAATAACCCCCTTCCCCCCCTGTTGTAATAACCGAGGTGGTTTTCAGATTTGTTATAAGTTGTAATACAAGAGTGCACGATTATGACTGTTGAAATGAACCCTTCTAATTCATGGGGCCTTTATTTCATAAGGATTATGGTAGGGCAATCAATAGTTTAGTAAATGCAATTATTTTTTTTAAACGTATTTATATTGGTGTACTAAGAAAGAGGCTCAAAATAATAAGGCTCAAAACAAAGGCTCAGACCAACAGGTGGTTGTTATCATTGGTCAGTGAGATCTACGCACTGAAGTTAGTCCCGCTTACATGTATTCTCTTATCTAGATTGTGCTAGTAACATAACTGCAAAAAACAATGGGTAGCTCGCGAAACAAGTCAGGGTTGCAGTTTTCGCGGCAAAGCTCTCATCAGAACTTCGGGCCAAGGCAGGGAGCGGGACTGGCTAACAGTATTGGCTGGTAACTTGCGAAACCTAAAGGGGAGACAAAGTTCTGTACGCGGTAATGGCAGCCCTCCATCCTTCAAATCCGAATTCCCCCACCTCTGCTTTGCCGCCATAGTTCCCTTTGAGGCCCGAACTATTCTGACGCTCCCTTGCCTCCCCTTTCAGATCGCCGTCAACTAGCACCTTGATCTTAAATTCCGCTTATTATTCCACGTCTAGTTGCTTGAGCTGATCGTATCTTGACTCGCACGCCATGGACTGTCTGTTCGGCCTTGTGGGAGACGGCTTCGCACTGGTTGTTGCGGACACGTCAGCAAACCAGTCGATCGTGATTAAGAAAACGGATGAGGATAAGATCATGATTCTCGACGAGACGAAATTGCTTGCCTCGTCGGGCGAGGCAGGCGACAGGTGAGATTTCGGCAAGTGAGACTAGCGTTCGGTCTTTTCCATTCAAACCACCGACTCTTTCCGCCCTTTCTCTCTCCGTTCTCCTCTCCCTATTTCGTTAGTCTCTGGAGACTATGTTGAACTATTTGAGGAAGGCGACGCCGTACGTATTAAATGAAGGTTCCGATCGGCTTTGTCTCAAACAACGCAATTTTCGCCTCCTTAGATCTGGATTCCTGTTTGGCTCACCCCGCAGTGGAATTCAGCCACTCGAATCAAAATTCGCCTTCCCCCATGACACCTTAGTCCGATCACGCCTTAGTCCGACCGCGCTTTGTCTTATCCGATCCTTGCGCGAAAGTACGCGGAAAGGTTCACGCCACACCTGGAGATTTCAGGCGCATCTGGCCCCTCCTTCCTTCTTTACAGCCACCTTTTTTTTTACATCCCAGTCTGCAGCCACCTTTTAAATCCTTCACCGTTTTTCTCCTCCCCATCTGCGCTTTGCTTCCCTCTCGTTTCAATCCTCCCCCTTCGCTCCGCACACCCTCTTCTCTTCTCTCCTCTCACCTCGCTCCGCGGATCCCCCGTCCGCCCACCCTCTCCCCTTCGCCGCCACACACTCCCGCCTGAACCACACCTGTCGAAAGCACACTAGTCCTGCTAATCAAGACAAGCTGATTCGTCGACTTGAACCATCTCCTTCCCTACTCTTGCTCTTTCTCTCGCTGTGCACCCAAACTGCGCTTTTCGCCTCTAGTATTTCCATGTGATAGCGTTTCTTTCCCGTGTCCATCCCGCCTCTCCCCATCCCAATTACCACTACCACCACCACCCCTCTCACCAGGGTGCAATTCTCGGAGCTGATTCAGAAGAACATTCACCTGTACGCCTTCCGCAACAGCATCTCGCTCTCCACCTCCGCTGCTGCCAACTTCACTCGCCTCGAGCTCGCCACTGCTCTGCGCTCACGGGTCAGCTCAGCAGCCTATCCGCCTGCCTCCCTCCCCTGTTTTAGAACTTTTTTAGGAAAAAAATAAGAAGGAAAACATTACGTTTCGCTGCCTCCTCCTTTCTCAGTTCCACCTGTGGCTTCAACCTGGCAACTATCCGGTGTTTTTGCTGCTTTTGCTGCTGTTCCCATCCACCCGCTTCATTGCCTTGACTACTCACTTGCATCAGCAGGCTCTCTGTCCTCATCATGCCTCACAAGAGACATGCGTACTGTCCTCCCCGTTCTCCTTTGGCCTCATGCATGCATGTTCTACACATTTGGGTGCTTATGCACACACAAGAACAAGTACACGTGCACATACGCATACTTCATCCCCATCCCCATCCCATCCACATCCACTTCATATTACGCTTTTGCATCCCCCACATGCACCCCTCAGGGTTCATACCAAACCAACATGCTGATGGCGGGATTCGATGAGGGAGTGGGACCATCTCTCTACTACCTTGACTACCTCGCCACGCTGCACAAAGTGAAGCACACTGCCATCGGCTACTGTACGTGACTTCAATTTTTTTTTTTTAGTCGACTCAAACACCATACCAACGTGCTGTTGTTTGTTCTCTATGTCACCAAACCCTTGACTATGTCGCCGCGCTGCACACAATGAAGCACACTGCCATCAGCTACTGTACGCGTCTTGAGTCATCCCGTGCACCCCTCAGTTCTCTCGCTGCTCGCTTCTTCTCCTGAGCATGTGCTTACTTCAATATTATACATCAAATTTTAGTTCTGATTTTTTTGTGCAAGCAACCTCTATTCCCACGGTTCGCTATCCTCCCTCCCTGCTTTCCTTCTCATCCGGCCCCACCGCTGTCTATCCACCGTACCACCTGCAACTGATCCTCTCTTTCCCCACTTCCCCTGCAGGCGCCTACTTCGTCCTCTCCATCTTTGACAAGTACTACAAGGACAGCACGACCCTGGGCAAGGCGCTAGAGGTGGTGAACCTTTGCAGCACCTCAATTACCATTCCACCTCCAACTCTCCTTTCTCACTTCCCTTCCTCCTCTGCAGGCGCCTACTTTGTGCTCTCCATCTTTGGCAAGTACTACAAGGACAGCACGTCCCTTTCGATGAGACCCTAGAGGTGGTGGACCGCTGCATCACTTGAGTTGACTAGTATACTCTTCCACACTTCCCCTGCAGGCGCCTACTTCGTGCTCTCCATCTTTGACAAGTATCACAAGGACAACATGACCCTGGACGAGGCCTTAAAAGTGGTTTTTCAGGTGCCGCAAACACCGTTCCACCTGCAACTTGCCCCTCTTCCTCTCCCTCCCTCCCTTCCACACCTCCCCTGCAGGCGCCTACTTTGTCCTCTCCATTTTCGACAAGTACTACAGGGACAACATGTCACTTGGGACGAGGGCCTTGGGACGAGGCCGTAGTGATGGTTGTTTTTCGAGACACCTCGAACTTACCTTTTTTTTCCCCACTTCCCCTCCAGGCGCCTACTTTGTGCTCTCCATCTTTGACAAGTACTACAAGGACAACATGTCCCTGGACGAGGCGCTAGAGGTGGTGGACCGCTGCATTGCAGAGGTGCGCCTGCGCCTGCTCGTCTCCCCGCCCAACTTCCTCGTCAAGATTGTCGACAAGGACGGAGCCAGGGAGCTGCTGTGGAGGAGAACGGTGCCCCCGCCTCCTGGGCCTGAGACGGCTGCAGCTGCGGGTGGTAGTACTGCTGCTGGGGGTGCTGTAGAAGTTAGCGCACAATGATTGCTGCCCAACTTCCTCGTGAAGATTGTCGGCAAGGACGGAGCCAGGGAGCTGCTGTGGAGGAGAACGGTTCCCCCTCCCCCCGGGCCTGAGACGGCTGCGGCTGGCTGTGCTGCTGCTGGTGGTGGTGCTGTGGAAGTTAGTGCGCAATGATTGGCGTACCGTATGTAGTGTCTAGAATCTAGATTACTGCCTCTGTTTCCCAAAATCTTTTTCCTTATGCCCCCTCTCCCTCTCACGCCCTTCTCCCCACTGCGGACTCCTTCCTCTTCCTCTTTTTCGCAAGACCACTTTTCACTGACGGGTTGATATTCCCTTTACATGGTGTTAACATGCCGGAACATGTATAGTGGTGTAACATTTTTTCACAAGATAACTACAACACTGTAAAGTTTGGCACCACTTTGGACAGTAAATGCACCATAGGCAACAGCAGAGAACGAGCAGGAAGCATCAGAGGTTGGGTTGGGTGCCTCCCCATTTCCCACTTGGCACTGTACTGTGGCTAGAGTGTGTGCTATGCGGAATGGTTAAACAAATTTGCTCATACACCTGTTGTTTTTTGTACTTTAGTTAATATAACCATTGTTACTGTATTTCCTTGGTTCACCAGGAGAGGTGTAGTGTCTCCATTCCCAGGACCAGCATTTCCGCAAACAACGCCGTTCTCCTGGGCCGTGGCTTCGCGCTTCGCCATGGACGTCGCCATACTTTCGTCGCGAATCCCGCACGCGCGATTAGCCGCACCCCGCACCTCTACACCATTCCCAACCCATGGCGCAGTTTCAAACACCGTCAAATTCAGACACTTACCCTCACCTCACACCAACTCACTCCAGACCACGTCAGATTCACATCGCTACGATGCTCCCCGCGCATATGCACGTCCGGGGGGAAGCGCGGGGAGGAGGCGCACGGCGGCGGCAGTCTGGGGCCGCGGAGGCGGAGGCGGAGGCGGAAGGCTGCAGGACGACCCGCTGCTGAACGATCTGGCGGAATTCGTGCTGGAAACGGCGGAAAACATCGCGATCCAGGCGAGCCCGCGCGCGCGGAGTGGGTTGGGATGAGTGGGGTTTGGTTGGGAGTGATTTCAAGCTATGTTCAGTCGACAATTTTGTGTCCTTTCAAGTGGGAGTGGGTGGGGGCTGTGCAAGTTAGATACATCTGGAAGTACCCTTCTCCCCCTCTCCCCTTCTCTCTCGCCCTCCCTCCCTCCCTCCCCTCCTCCCTCTCTCCCCTCCTCCCTCCCTCCCTCCCTCCCTCCCTCCCTCCCTCCCTCCCTCCCTCCCTCCCTCCCTCCCCTCCTCCCTCCCTCCCTCTCCCTCCCGTCTTCACTCTCCTTACGCTGTCTCACTCCCACTCTTCCTGTGTGCATGTGAATGAGCAGACAGGGGACATCATTCGTAAGCGGATCAAGCAAATTAAGATGGTAAGCATGCACGCTGCTCCCTCCCCTCCGCTCACTCCCCCTCCCCTCTGCACACTCTCCCTCCCCTCTGCACACTCTCCCTCCCCTCTGCACACTCTCCCTCCCCTCCGCTCACTCCCCCTCCCCTCTGCACACTCTCCCTCCCCTCTGCGCAATCTCCCTCCCCTCCGCACACCCCCCCTCCCCTCTCCACACTCTCCCTCCCCTCTGCGCAATCTCCCTCCCCTCCGCACACCCCCCCTCCCCTCTCCACACTCTCCCTCCCCTCCGCTCACTCCCCCTCCCCTCTGCACACTCTCCCTCCCCTCTCCACACTCTCCCTCCCCTCTGCACACTCTCCCTCCCCTTTCCACACTCTCCCTCCCCTCCGCTCACTCCCCCTCCCCTCTGCACACTCTCCCTCCCCTCTCCACACTCTCCCTCCCCTCTGCGCACTCTCCCTCCCCTCCGCACACTCCCCCTCCCCTCTGCACACTCTCCCTCCCCTCTCCACACTCTCCCTGCCCTCTGCGCACTCTCCCTCCCCTCCGCACACTCCCCCTCCCCTCTGCACACTCTCCCTCCCCTCTGCAACCTCCTCACTCCCCTCCGCATGCCCTCCAGCTTCTGCTGTCTTCGCTTGCCCTTAATTGCCATTCGATGTCATTTGATGCTATTCGATGCTATTCGATGCTTTTCCTCCTCGCTTTGCCGAATCGTCCTGGTTGCCTCGCTTGCATAACCACTCGCAACCCAGGACCATTTGAGCTGTTTCAATAGCCGCCGCAACAGCGCACTCAACCTGTGTCCGGTGCCGTGCTGTGTGTGTGTGTGTGCTGTGGTGTGTGGGGAGTGGGGAGTGGAGAGGGGGAGTGGCGGAGTGATGGAGGGTGGAATGGGCTTTGGAAGGAGGGGATGGTCTTATGCGGGTTTGTGTGTGTGTGTGTGTGTGTGTGTGTGTGTGTGTGTGTGTGTGTGTGTGTGTGTGTGTGTGTGTGTGTGTGTGTGTGTGTGTGTGTGTGTGTGTGTGTGTGTGTGTGTGTGTGTGTGTGTGTGTGTGTGCATGAGCGTGCGTGCGTGTGCACGCGATTTCAACTGCGTGCATGTGTGCATGCGGTCCATGCCGTGCATGGGTGCATGGGAGCATGGGTGCATGAGTGTGCATGGGCGCATGAGTGTGCATGGGTGCATGGGAGCAGGTGGAGGTGGAGCGTAAGGAGTATGCATGTGACTTGGTGACAGAAGTGGACAAGGAGTGCGAGCAATACATCACAAGCATTGTCAATGTGAGTTTGTAATAGATAGAGGCCCCTCAAAGCAGAGCGCGTGTGTGCGTGTGATGTATGCGACTTGGGTTTTGAGTCAACTCAAAACAAGAGGTGGACAAGGAGGAGTGCGAGCGATACATCACAAGCATCGTGAATGTGAGTCGGGATTGGAGTTGTCTTTGTCTTATAACACATGGTCCCCGGCCCTGTACTCAGGCGTGTGCAGCAAGTTCTTGCATTGCCTTTTGGAAACGAGGCTGAATTTTGAGTTGACTCAGAAGTCACCTTGCATCGCCCTTTGGACATGGAACGGAGGTGTGTGTGAGCGATACGGCACTGGTCTGGTACCACCATGCATGTAAGTGTACTCTACAGTTGTGGTAAAGCACAGAGCATGCATGCGATAAAGCGGCACAGCACACAGAGGTCTCTTTAGTGCGAGCGATAGTCCACCCAGCATCATGGCCCTTGTAATGGAGTGCGGTGCATGATACATTCGTACGCGTCGTTCACTTCAAAACTGTCTTCAGAATTTCGGTGCTCCAGGAAACCTGGCTTTTTCCCCCCGCCGCTCCCCCTCCCGCTTTCCCCATTTCCTCCCCCTTCCGATTTTCCGGCGTCACCCCTGCTGCCAGGCCACGTTCCCGCTGCATCGCATCATAGGCAAAGAGACAGCCACAGAGGAGGACATAGCATGGCTGTGCTGCTGCTGCTGCTGCTATGGGTGCTGCTGGTTCTTGCGACCTTTCAACCTTCCCCACCTCTTTTCCTCCCCCTCCCCCTGCCAGGCCACGTTCCCGCTGCATCGCATCATAGGCGAGGAGACAGCTAGAGAGGAGGACATGGCGTGGCTGGAGCAAGGAGCCAACCCTGCTGCTGCTCCCGGTGGCGATGGCAGTGCCGCTGCTGCTGCTATGAACGAGTGGGTGTGGATCGTCGACCCTATCGACGGCACACTCAACTTTGTGAGTCTGGGTTGGGGAGGAGGGCATGACATGGTTGCACCAGGGAGCAAACCCTGCTGCTGCTGCCAGTGCTGCTGCCGGTGGTGGTGATGGCAGTGCTGCTGCCGCCGCCGCCGCTGCAATGAATGAACGAGTGGGTGTGGAGCATGGACCCAATCGACGGCACACTCAACTTTGTGAGTTGAAGACTGGGAACATCAAGGGAGGGTCTGGTTGCCGCACTGCGTGCTGCAAGCTTTTAAGGATCGCTTGTTTCTATATGGCATGGCACGTGCAGACAGACTCGTCTGCGCCCGCCCTTCTCACTTTGGGAACCGGCATCAAAGAATTACCTGATTCAAAGCAAGGTTCCCAAGGTTCCCCTCCTCTCCTCTCAGCCCCTCTGGCGAGATCCCCCTGTGCGCCGTGTCGTTGGGCGTGTATTGAGTCGACTCAAAACTTCCCCCCTCCTTCTGCCTCTGCCTTTCCCCCCCTCGCTATCCGTGCAGGTGGGGGGAAGTTCCCTGTGCGCCGTGTCGCTGGGTGTGGCCAGGCCAGGCATGGCTGGAGGTGTGTTTTGATTTGAGTCGACGCAAAACGAGTCGCTGGGTGCGCCATCTCGCTGGGTGTGGCTGTGGCCAGGCATGGCCGCCTGGACGTGGGGGGGATCGCCCTGTGCACCTTTGGAATCAAGCCCCCCTGCCTTTCCCCTCCGCGCCCGCTTCCAGGTCGGGGAGATCCCTATGTGCGCCGTGTCGCTGGGTGTGGCCAGGCAGGGGCGCATGGACGTGGGGGAGATCGCCCTGTGCACCTTTCCAGTTTTGAATGAAGCAGCCTAGAATTGATTTCTTGAAGTCAAGCCGCTTCCCCTTCCCTCCGCCCCCCCCTACAGGTGGGGGAGATCCCTATGTGTGCCGTGTCGCTGGGTGTGGCCAGGCAGGGGCGCATGGAGGTGGGGGGAGACACCCCTGTGCACCTTTCCACTTTACAGCAGCCTCAATAATGTCTTATTATGATTAGAATCAAGCCTCTCCCTCCCCTCTGCCCCCCTTTCCAGGTGGGGGGGATCCCCCTGTGCGCCGTGTCGCTGGGCGTGTTTTGAGTCGACTCAGAACTTCCCCCCCCCCCACATCCTCCGCCTTTTCCCCCTCCACCCTTAAACCCTCACAGGTGGGGGAGATCCCTATGTGCGCCGTGTCGCTGGGTGTGGCCAGGCAGGGGCGCATGGAGGTGGGGGGAGACACCCCTGTGCACCTTTCCACTTAAGAGAAGCCTAGAGATCAAACCCCCCTCCCTCCCCTCCGCACCCCCGTTGACTCAATATTCCCCCGCCCCCCTCCGTGCCCCTCCCCTCCGCCCCCCCTTACAGGTGGGGGAGATCCCTATGTGCGCCGTGTCGCTGGGTGTGGCCCGGCAGGGCCGCCTGGAGGTGGGAGTGGTGTACAACCCCTTTAATAACGAGCTCTTCAGCTGCCGCCGAGGGGAAGGTGAGTGAGGGGTGTGATGCGAGGTGAAGCTGAGAGTGGCATGGGGTGTGGTTCGAGCTGTTGCGAGCTGGTGTAGGGGGTAGGAGTGGTCTGGCAGGGGCGCCTGGAGGTGGGGGTGGTGTACAACCCCTTTAACAATGAGCTCTTCAGCTGCCGCCGAGGGGAAGGTGAGTGAGGGGTGTGATGCGAGGTGAAGCTGAGAGTGGCATGGGGTGTGGTTCGAGCTGTTGCGAGCTGGTGTAGGGGGTAGGAGTGGTCTGGCAGGGGCGCCTGGAGGTGGGGGTGGTGTACAACCCCTTTAACAACGAGCTCTTCAGCTGCCGCCGAGGGGGAGGTGGGACTGTTGGGGAAGTTGGTGAGCGTAGCATGGGGTGTGATGCTGGGTGCGTGGAGGGAGTGGGAGTGGTGTAGAACAACCCCTTCTACAACGAGCTCTACAGCTGTCGCCGAGGGGAGGGTGAGTGCGGCTGTGGTGCGAGCTGTTTTGGGGGATAGAAGTGTCCCTGCAGGGCTGCATGAAGGTGGGAGTGGTGTACAACTCTGTTCAACAACAAGCTCTACAGCTGCCGCCGTGGGGAAGGTGGGTGATCCTTCCTTGTGGTGATAGCATGTGTGGGCTTTGGTGCGAGGTGTGTGCGTGGAGGGAATGAAGTGTCCCTGCAGGGCTGCCTGGAGGTGGGGGTGGTGTACAACCCTTTTCAACAACAAGCTCTACAGCTGCCATCGAGGGGAAGTTAGGGGCTGCACATTCATTTCCTTCCAACACCTGCCTCTCGTTGTTCCATATCCTTCTCCATTGCAATTTATTTCATTGCCCGTGACATCTCCTCTTGCCTCCTCCCTCTCCTCTCCACTCCTTTCTTCTTCTCTCTAATCCTCCACTCTTTTCCCTACTCCTCTCCTCTCCTCTCCTCTCCTCTCCTTCTACGCTCCGCTCCTCTGCTCTCCTGTCCTTCCCCCTTCCCTCTACTATCCTCCCATCTCCTTTTATTTTTCTGCCTCTCCTCACCTCCCCACAGGTGCATATTTGAATGGCAACCGCATTGCTATTCCAAACGAGCCAACAGAAATTGGTGATGCTGCCGTTGCTGTGGGCTTCCCATCCAGTGTACGTGCACACGCACATGCATGCACATTGTCATGCACACAAACATGCACACATGCACATGTGCATGCTCATGCTGCTCATGCTCATGCTCATGCTTTGGTAGATGAGAACATGGGCGGTTCAACCACAGGTCTAGTATCATTTCCACCTTCCCTCCTCCCGTCCCACCTCTCTCCTCCTCTCCTTTGTGCATGCAGCCAGAGCATCGGCAGCGAATGATAGAGGCAGTGGCAGCAGTGGCACCACACGCCAGGACCATGAGGGCCTTTGGATCCGCGGTGGGAATGGGGGAGGGGGCTGAGGGGAGCTTGGGGGAGGGGGTAGGCGGGAGGAGGTAGTCGGGAAGGGGGATGGGGGAGGGGGGATGGGGGAGGGGGGATGGGGGAGGTGGATGGGTGAGGGGGGATAGGGGAGGGAGATGGGGGGGGGAGTTGGGGGAGGGGGAAAGAGGGAGGGGGGAAGGGGTAGCATCGAGAGTTCTAAAATACTCCGATTGGCGGAGGCAGTGGTTGCAGTGGCACCACACGCCACCATGAGGGCTTGGATCCGTGGTGGGGAACGGGGAGTTTGGGACGGGGGAGGAGGGGGGAAAAGGGGATGTATGGTGCAGCATGGCATGCATGAACGTTCTTTTATGCTATGGTGTGGTAGATCGTTCGTTGCAGGGCTTGGTTTAATACAGCGCGGCATGTCGTCGAATCGCATCGCATTGCACACATGGCATCTCACATCTCATTGCGCATCTCATTGCGCATCTCATTGCGCATGGAGTTGCATCTGTTTCCATGAACGAATCAATGCATCTGCCCGTTTCACCAGAATCACTTTCGAGCACTTTCAGAGCTGATTTTTGTGCATGAATGAGTCAACTAGTGCATTTGCTCGTTTCTCACACCGCAACACCGTGCTTTACCTATGTGTGCCCCCCCTGTGCCTCCCGTTACTCCATTTCCTCTCCTTCCCATCCAATTTCCATCCCATGCCATCATCCCACCATCCCTTTTATAATCAATTCCCCAACCCATCTCCCTTCCCAGGCTCTGCATATGAGCTACGTGGCAGCAGGGCGCCTCGGTGCTTTCTTTGAGGAAGGGCTTAAGGTAATGGATGAAGGGCTACAAATGAAGGGACATGGATGTTATACACTCTAATGATTCAGAAGAGTTGAATGATAGACCCAACGTTGTTGGCTCGATGAATGCTCGCTACATCCGGTATTCTGTTCTCATTATCATTTATGACATGCTTGGATGGCATGATGAGATTTACTCACGTTATTTCACCTAACCCTTGCCTTATTTCCTTTCCACACCACCCACCCTTACCCACCTGCTCACCCCTACCCACGTGTTTGTGCAACCAGCCATGGGATGTAGCAGCAGCTCACCTCCTTGTACAGGTAACCCTCATGCACCTCCTTGTACAGGTAACCCACATGCACCTCCTTGTACAGGTAACCCACATGCACCTCCTTGTACAGGTAACCCACATGCACCTCCTTGTACAGGTAACCCTCATGCACCTCCTTGTACAGGTAACCCACATGCACCTCCTTGTACAGGTAACCCACATGCACCTCCTTGTACAGGTAACCCACATGCACCTCCTTGTACAGGTAACCCACATGCACCTCCTTGTACAGGTAACCCTCATGCACCTCCTTGTACAGGTAACCCACATGCACCTCCTTGTACAGGTAACCCACATGCACCTCCTTGTACAGGTAACCCACATGCACCTCCTTGTACAGGTAACCCACATGCACCTCCTTGTACAGGTAACCCACATGCACCTCCTTGTACAGGTAACCCACATGCACCTCCTTGTACAGGTAACCCACATGCACCTCCTTGTACAGGTAACCCACATGCACCTCCTTGTACAGGTAACCCACATGCACCTCCTTGTACAGGTAACCCACATGCACCTCCTTGTACAGGTAACCCACATGCACCTCCTTGTACAGGTAACCCACATGCACCTCCTTGTACAGGTAACCCACATGCACCTCCTTGTACAGGTAACCCACATGCACCTCCTTGTACAGGTAACACACATGCACCTCCTTGTACAGGTAACCCACATGCACCTCCTTGTACAGGTAACCCACATGCACCTCCTTGTACAGGTAACCCACATGCACCTCCTTGTACAGGTAACCCTCATGCACCTCCTTGTACAGGTAACCCACATGCACCTCCTTGTACAGGTAACCCTCATGCACCTCCTTGTACAGGTAACCCACATGCACCTCCTTGTACAGGTAACCCTCATGCACCTCCTTGTACAGGTAACCCACATGCACCTCCTTGTACAGGTAACCCTCATGCACCTCCTTGTACAGGTAACCCACATGCACCTCCTTGTACAGGTAACCCACATGCACCTCCTTGTACAGGTAACCCTCATGCACCTCCTTGTACAGGTAACCCTCATGCACCTCCTTGGACAGGTAACCCACATGCACCTCCTTGTACAGGTAACCCTCATGCACCTCCTTGTACAGGTAACCCACATGCACCTCCTTGTACAGGTAACCCACATGCACCTCCTTGTACAGGTAACCCTCATGCACCTCCTTGTACAGGTAACCCTCATGCACCTCCTTGTACAGGTAACCCTCATGCACCATCCCCCTTCCAGTCACCCATGCAGTTTCAACAGTGCTCAGCCTTTCACTCCCCTGCCTGCACTGCACGCCCCCATCTCTCATCTTATAACCCCCGCTCGCCTCTATTTCCCCGTTCTGCGGCGCACATCACAACTCACCTTCCTCTGACCACCCAGACTAGAAGCATACACTAGAACCACTCGCATCACAACTCCTCCCATCTCGCCCCTCCCTCCTCCTTCTTACCCCTTGCTCCCCTTTCCTCCCACTTCCTCCCCCTTCCTCCCGCTTCCCCCCCCTCCCCCCCCGCTTCCTCCCCCTTCCCCCCCCTTCACCCCCCTTCCTCCCCCTTCCTCCCCCTTCCTCCCACTTCCTCACCCTACTTCCCCCTTCCTCCTCCTTCCACCTCCTTCCTCTCCTTTCCTCCCCCTTCCTCTCCCTTCCTCCCCCTTCCCCGCAAGCAGGAAGCAGGGGGCGTGGTAACCAGCATGGCAGGGGAGCCACTCAAGCTGAGTGGGGGGTCTGTTCTGGCAACCAGTGGGGGTCAGCAGCTGCACTCACACATCCTCTCACTCATTGCCAATGAGAAGGCTTGAGGTTAAGTTGCTGCTAAGTTGTAGGTTTGAATGATCAACTTTTTGCCATGTCTTGTCAACTTTCAATAAGTTGTTTTCTGTAGTACTGAAGTGGTGAAGGTACCATATCTGTGGGGTATGCAGCAGGCCCTATTTTATCAGGGTAAATCACCCTGATACCCTGATTATCAGGGTGGTTTTTGGGTGTAACACAGGGCTCATTTTTTGTTTTGACCAACCCTTACGATCAGTCTAGCACCTGTTCAAAAACCTTATTTTCAGGGTTACCCGTTGTGGAAAACCTGATGCGTCAGGGTTTTTGCATATATTAAAATGACTACCCTGAGGCATCAGTGAACCAATTCGCAAAACCCTGTTTCAGTTGTTCTTAACACAGCACACAATAACAAGCTCAATCATCATCGTCAGACATGCCACAAGGTTGTTGCTCGTGGTCACTGTCCTCCTCTGGCTCCGGCACTTTCTCCTTGCCTCGAATGCAACTGTATTTCTGGCCAATGGTGGCCCACCTCGTTCCAGCACACGTAAAGTCCTGCCGAAATCTACATTTTCGACAGTTGGCAAAGGGAAAATCCTGGTTCTGGGGTCGGGTGGCAGGGCTGACGTTTCAAATTTAGGTACCCTGATGTCCACCAAAAAAAAATAATTTTAACCCTGAAGGCATATTTTCCAGAAAAGCAGCACCCTGATTGCTCAGTGTTGGGAAGTTATACAGTCTGAGTGTTCAGGGTCGAGAAGTCACGATCAGGGTACGTGTAGTAACGCGCTGTGCATTATCGAAACTGAACTTTGATGGCGAATCTGTTCTGTGAAAGGGCGAATGTGCAATGTCAGATACATTTTACTGTGATTGGTCAAGACCTTTGTGCTCTGACAGCTCAAATCTGCTGTGTCAGGGCCATTTCGCTGTGATTGGGCAAATTCGTTGCTCCGTACGGCGCGAATTCGCTTTGTCAACGCGAATTTTTAATGACGCTGGTGCTGTGACCAGTCAAGACGGGTTTGACTCACCAGTTTGACCCTCACTAGTGAACCTCGGAGGTGGGTGTATCGAAAGGAAATTTCGAGGAAGCTTCCTCCCGATAAACTTGCATGCAGGGACCACAGAACGCATACTCTGTAGTGACAGACTCCAGAAATGACTAACACTGAGGCCTATTACGCTGAATCAGGGGCCATAAAACAATAACTCTGAGGCTCTCAGTGATGAAAATTTGACTACTCTGGAATTCCATTTTTCACAAACTCGATGGTCTGATCCGTCAGACTAATCAGACTATTTACTCTGATAGCGTCAGCCCTGTCGGGTGGTCAGGGGACGGGGGGGGGGGGGGGGGGGGGGGGGGGAGAGGGAGTTCGCTGATACGCGCTTTAGGGTAAACCTCGATAAGCGGAACGGCAACCTTGAGGCGACAGTGTTCCTTAATCTTAAAACCTGGCACGTCGGGGTAAATTAAGGTCCCGAAAAATTTGTTGGAAACAAACAATCTTAAGCACCTCTGTCGTGTCGAAACACCAAGACACAAGCGAGGCGAAAACATATCGGAGCACCAGCGAGTCAACCCTCGGAGGTTGAGCAACTGCTGGAGGTTATGCGAAAGTCAAAGGTCAGCGACCTTTGACCTGACAAATACAGTGCGACAGCAAGGACACACAACTGACTCGTTACAGAGCAGTTGCCCGAGTCGTCACTGTATCGAACCGCAACAACAACAGTAAAGTAGTTATGACCGTATCTCTTCGTATTCCTTGTACTCTTATATAATCCTGTATCTTTTTGTTTTAATCAATCTACTTTGCCCTCACATACTAGCGCAAGGTGGTTCACAACTCTTTATTAAAACGCTTCCACTATCAGTCCTACCCAGAGTTCACCCCTGCAAAGATCCTAAGGGCTTTTCTCAGCCCAACATGGTATGAGAGTTATCAGGGGGGATTCAACTATCAAAACACCTACAACATCAGAAGACATGGCTACTCAGAAGGAAAGGAGTTCCTCTACTGGTTCTCCCGGCACTACTCCTACTCCACCTTCTGCCTCTGGCCTACAAACAGAGAAGGGTATGGCAACAAGACCCAGGGCAACATCCACTGAAACTCCTGCGAATCAACTTGCAGGCTTTGACCAGAGCATGATGGAGAAGTTTTTCTCCTTCATATCCTTCTACGAGCAACACCAGCAATCGGTACCTGCGCAGTCACACAACAGCAAGAGCAACAACAACAATGACGTGACTCCAATGAGCCTTGACAGTTCATCCTACGCACGTGGAAATCAACAGCAGCAACCTACCTTTGCTCCGTACGAGCCCCAGCGCGGCTCCGTCAGCTTTATGCCACAACCGCAGCCTGCACATGGACAGGAGAAACCAATGGACGCACTTCAAGTTCAGTCGTAGTTCGCCCACGTTTTAAAACTTCAGACATTAAGGCCTTTCTACGGAAAGGACTTCTTCACCTGGTCGTTCGAGTTTGAGTTAATGATGGAAGGCGCGCAGATTCTTGGCTTCTTCGACGGATCCCTGCCATACCCAACAAACGGCATACAGTACGAGAAGCAGCAGTACACCTATCAGTCAATGATGGCGTATACGATTCTACTGAGGAACATCACCCCGAACGAGCAGCAGAATATACGGTCTTACCGGGGATACGGCAACTGCGCCGAACTCGCATATAGCCACTTGAAGAGCCTGTATCAAGCAACAGACAGCATTAGTCAGAGTCGGCTAATGGCGCAATTGACAACAGTGGAAATGAAACCAGGCGAAAAGGGAATAGCGTATATCAGCCGCTGTCGCGAGTTGCGCGACCAACTCCTTCGATGCGGAGGGTCGATATCTGAAGACGCCTTCGTGACAGTCATCATCGGCGCCCTCGGCCCTCAATGACGCGCCACAAAGGCCATTCTCCGAGCTCATGGGAGAATCTCCGAGGCAGCACTCTTTGCCAAAATACACGCCGAGCAACAAGACATGAACCTACAAGAGGAACGGCACAAGAAGAAAACATCAGTACCCGAATTAGCGTTTCACACTTAGCAACGCTACAACAACAACAACAACAACAACAACCGACAACAACCAAAGCCCGTACCTCCGTTCTGCCATCTTTGCAAGACGTCAGGACATTTGCGCACACACAGCCCGAATCGACAACAGTCAACTCCGCCACAACGACAGCTTCGACCCTCAAGCAGTCAAGTCGCCTCCGCGCAAGCGAACCCCACAAGTCAAGTACAGTCCTCAACGACATCGCCGTCAACACAATCTGCATAAGGAACAAGAAATATTGTCAGTTGCATGGCAAGATTGTCAGACTCTTGCATCACCGAGTCACCGCCACACTACTCACCGGAAGAACAACTCGACAACACCACACCTCGCCGCGAGTCACTTCAACCGAATCCAACGTACGCAGCCATCGCCCAGAGCGAACCATCCAGGAAAGACACCTGGCTCTAAGACAGTTGCTGCGGACAGCACATGTGCTCTTCAAGACGCTTCGTGCAGCAAGAGCACCGACTCCAACGGGAAGTAGTCATCACCGTCGCCAACAACCAGAACCTGCGTACACGACGACAAGGCGTGGTTCAACTTCAGTCAAGAGAGACAAACGTTTATATTAAAGATGTCAAAGGTATTAATCGCGGAAGGACTCGGCTACAACTTACTGAGCGTCAGCCAGTTGATAGCAAAAGGCATTCACCTCGAAGCAGACAGCACCACCGAGGAGTTCAAGTTGTACCACGGGAAGGAAGTCATGAAAAACAACGTCTTCCTTCCCGACTTCGTCCCGAACCTTGGCACCGCTGACAGCGGCGCCATCGTGAACTTCACCTCTTTGACATATCCACTGGATCTTGACCCGGACTTCAGCCCCGGCGATTTCTGGTATTCACATACGATTCCTGAAGTAGAAAGAACAAGAGCGTTAGCGACAATTCAACATTTGGCAGCAGCAGAGACAACATCGACAGCAGCAGAGACAACATCGGCAATAGCAGAGACAACATCGGCAGTAGCAGAGACAACGGAGACAACAACGGCAACATCAACACCAATCGCTGGTCCTTCAACGGCACCGATCTTCGTCGACGACACACCACCGACACCCGCGCAGCAAATGCATCCAGTGCCATGAGAGGTTCATCGAAGCACAAACTTCACCGCCAGCTTCTACTCCAACTTCGATATGTATCGGCGCTCACCCGAACATCGTGCCACCGAAGGAACCTGGCACGCAAGAATGGGACACCCAAACAACACGATGTTAAACAACACGATAAGAGCAGGCGTGCTCGACAGAGACTCTCTACTCCTAACTGACGGCAGAGAACTTCAGCGAGCCCGTGGAACATGCTTCACCTGTCTCGAAGCTAACTTACCGCATCAACCGTTCGCGTCTCACCACAACCCAAGCGCACCAGCTTACGCGCCACTCGAGAAGGTGTACATCGACATCCTGTACCACCGCGAGCCTGGACAAAACGCGTACAATTACACCATCACCTTCATCGACGCAGCCACTCGATACGTCTGGCACCTAAATCTTCCAAGCAAGGACATGGCTTTCGAAGCCTTCGTCGCTTGGCTTCTAGTAGCAGAACGAGAATCGGGCGTCAAACTAAAAAGCTTCCAGTCAGACAAGGGAGGCGAATATACCTCACAGAGGTTCAAGGAGTACTTGGCAGAAAGACGAATCAAGCGACTCATCTCTCTTCCCTACGCCCATCAACAGCAGGGTGTAGCAGAAAGGATGAACAGGACCCTCCAGAACACCATGCGCAAGCTGCTACGTGGCATGCACCAGCCCAACCACCATTGGCCCGAAGCAATGGACCACGCCGTCATGCTGCACAACTTGCTCTCGTCATCATCGCTTCCGAACAACGCATCACCACATCTGCTGTGGACAGGAAAACTGGGCAGCACAAAAATGTTAAGAGTCTTCGGTTGCATGGTACAGTACCAGCCTCCAT